TATAAAACCTAAAAAGAGTCAAATTCTCTCTTCATTTCAGGCAATAGTAAGAGGGAACTTTGGTTGTTACTGTAATTACTTGTTGTCACTGTTACTTTCACAGAGTTATTTTATTTAAAGATGAAGGGAGTTCACTGGTGTTGAATAAAACCTTAACAAGATGCCTTATCCCTCACAGGCATTTACTACCTGTACAGGTGTTAAATTGCAGTGATAATTAATATGTTTGATACCTGTGCCGGTATTAAATCACAGAAGGGTAATTAATATGTGCAATATTAATTTATATGGTATAATACTAAATTATATGGTGGCAATGTGCATGTCCAATTCCTGTACAGATATTAAATGTCACAGTGATAATTAGTAAGTTTAACACGTGTTCAGGTGTTGAATTACCAGGGATAACTGATAATAGAGGTGAGGAGAGGAAGCAATTGTTACCTACCACTGTGCCCAAACAGCTCTCCTTTTCTTTAGCTAGCTGGAAAACCTGCAGCCTGAGGTGGAGGAACTTGCCAAGCGCCTTCGCTATGAAGTGTCCGTGCGTGGAAAGCAGCTGGGATGGTCTGAAAAGGTGGCCAGGTACGAGAGGGGCGTTGTACTCACCTCCTGAATCCTTGCCAAGGGGGAGGATCCCACAAACACAAAAAAACCCAAGGTGCTGCCTTGGCCCAAAGCTTAGGTTTTCTTTCCCCGCCTGTGACCGATGGATTTATTCTGTTCCCTTTCAGAGCTGAGCTTTTGCTTTTCTCTCCGGAAGGTTCCACTTCAGGAAGAACATGCGGCGGATCCTCACGGAGCTGTACATCCGGGACAACTGCCACCCCTTCAAAGGCACCGTGCTGCTGTGGGTGCAGGTCCCCATGTGGGTGTGCGTGTCCCTGGCTCTGCGCAACTGCAGCGTCGGCGCCCTGGGCCCAGCAGGTAATTCTCGCTGGCAATTCTCACATGGCTCGCTGCTCTCACGGGGCACCTCCTTCCTTCAAGGGCTTTCCTGAGCTTGGGCTGCAGGCTGATACAAAACCCATCAGCTGCTCAGGTTTCGAACTGAGTGTAGTTCAAGTTTAATCTAATTAATTAATATAAATGATAGGTAATAAATAGATTTTTGTATTAGTTATAAGCTTAATGTAGCCTGATAATCCTGTTTAGCAAGTAATACACGTGCCACGGCACACTCACTGTTAATCTCTATTTTTTTTTTCCTTCCACGTGGAATGCTGTGGACAAGGTGAATTTGTGAGCATCTTTTAAATGATACTATAAAATATATACATTAAAAAATATATTGAAAATATATAAAAACAAATATATATATTTTTTATATGTTTACATATATTTATATATATTTTTTATATATATTTATGAAAATTACACATTATAGAAAATGATACATTATATAAAAATTATATATAAGATATACATTATAAAATGTATATATAAAATATACATTCTATTAAAATTTATGCATTATAAAAATTATACGTTGTATAAAATTTTATACTATATATAGTATATAAAAATATATACTATATAAAATTATATATTATATAAATTATACATTTTATAAAAATTATATATAAAATACAGTATAAAATGTATATGCAAAAATATATATTCTATTAAAATTTATGCATTATAGAAATTACACATTATGTAAGAATTTTATACTATTTATAGTATATAAAACTATATGCTATATAAAATTGTTATATAAATCATACATTATATAAAATTATATATAAAATATACATTATAAAGTGTATATATATAAATATACATTCTATTAAAATTATGGATTATAAAATTATTTATTATATAAAATTTATATATATCAATATTTTATCTATAAATATATATTTATATTAAAATTTATTTTAAAAATTTACTATATATAGCATATAAAATTTTAAACTATATAAAATTATATCATATAAATTATACATTATATAAAATTTTATACTATATATAGTGTATAAAATTTCAAACTATATAAAAATTATATACTGATTTTTTTAGACAGGAGTTTTTAATTTCTTCTTTTAAGCAAAAAATGTGTCTATTTACACAGTTCCTAAGAAAAACATAATTTTTTTTAAAAATCAGGAAATAAGCACTGTGTTA